AACTTTTTATCCAACTAAGCATACTCGACCCTTCTTTCATAAATTTTCCTTGAAAGTGTTTTTCCAACGGAAGCTTATGCAGATGAAATGGTTTTAAAAGTGCCATTTACTGTTTAGACTTTTTTCCTCTTTACATTTCTACATTAGCTTTGAATTCATTTGTTCAAGGTTTGTTTTTCTTTTCCTCCAACTGGTGATACTTAATCTTGTACCCAGATCCTACCCTGAGCCTGTAACTGAAAACTGTTATTTATGCCTAATCACGTGATCATATCAGTGGTAATGACAATATGATTATCAACAAGTGTGATATGAAGAATGGTACCAATGACAATTTGCAGAATCAGTGACAAAAACTGAGAAACAGTGTGGTTCCTATAAGGGATTTATAATGTGGAAGGAAATTTTTGTCACCTTTACGGCATCACTTGTTAGCATTATTTACTAACGCTAGGAAGGGATGCCGGGAAGGCGATAGAACATTTGACGTCATTTTGGTCTGACATCTTTCAAGAGGGAGAAGCTATTGTTAGTTTCTTCAGCACGATATCTCGTAACAAAAGTGAGTAAATGCATTTGGTATGATCAAAACGAGCCCCGGGGTCTTTTGGTAGTAGTAGCCTCAAAAAAGCCTTTAGTAGATGTTTTTGTCGTCTGGGTTTTCCTAAGTTGCCTATCAAGTCAACAATTATGTCATTAAAGTTTCATGGCTTCAAAGTGCCTCTAAGCCTCTGATCAAAATAATACTGCATTCATTTCAGCTAGCTCAATAAAGACTAACTAAAGTTGGGAGAGATTTGATTTTCGCAAGAAATTATATCAAAATCAAGAAGTTACCACTTGTAGGTTATTTAAATTCAGTTGTTGTAAGGATAATTCCGCTATACTCTAACTCGAAGACAGGAAGCTGAGCCCACTGGTCTTAGAGAAATAGAGAGGAGTAAGGAATGGAAACGAGTAACTTGAAAAACAAATTATGCAAAGCCAATTTCATTGTTTTTCTCGCCGGTTATCAAACTCAGTTACAGGTATTAGACCAAAACCATTATTACGGTCGCGACTTCTACGACGGAGCTACAAAACGAAAAAAGGAAGTTGTGAAGCAGGATGTTCCATTAACCTTTTGCTGCTGAGTCGAGTCGATTAGAAGAACAACATTTTTAGCTTTAATCTTTCCACTCGACCGTTTATCTCAATGAAGACGTCCCCTCCTTTTTTTGACGCTTTCCTCCTTGATAATACCCTTCTCTGCCAGAGAGGCAGCTATAAACTTTGGTTAATCGTTTGAAACTATTATATCTATTGGTAATCTTTTGATAATTGTATACCTAAATCTTTCTTCGAAATTACCAGGCTTAGGAATCTGGTTCTCTTACTAATTACATCACTTCTAAGCTTATGGTAATGGTAGTGACAAGTAATCTCGTATAAAATAAAAAAAAAATTTTCAGAGTTCACGCTTCAATGTTCCTTTGTCTGCAAAACCCAAATTTATCTAAACCAACTGTTTTTATCCTTGACATGAAGTGATTTATGACAATAATGGCTGTTAAGCAGTACACATTAATTTCAGGAGGCGGGTCTTCTTGTCCACTGTTTCTTTATTGGAACTTTGAAATGTTCATGGGTTTTTTAGAGGGAGGAAAACCGGTGGACCCGGAGAAAAACCATCAAAGAAAAGGTCGAAACTCAACGAAAAACTCAGCCCAAATGTGACGCCAGGTCCGGGAATGGAACCCGGGCCACAGCAGTGGAAGGCTTCAATTCCTTCTCTTTAACCCCCTCCGCTCCCAAGATCTCATCAGTAATTTTCCTTACTGCCTGCCATACAGTTCTTGTGATGTTAGTTCTGAGAATTCGGTATTGGATCAACTAATAATCCCCTAAATGATATTTTTCTTTCTTCTCATCGTTTGTGTACTTGATATTGGAAGGACATTGGGAGGAGAAATTCTGTCTTGGTTATCATGGGATTTAAGAGTTAATCTAGGGTTCAGCAAATATCACCAGGCCACTCAATCATTTGACGATTTCTCTTATTACATTCGACAAAATTATCATGTGGCTAACGCTATTGGAATAAATTGTTTCTAATGATTAATATTCCTTCCTTTTACTGAGATACCTTATTATGACAATTACTTTGCGTTTCGGTTTTCTACGTCATAAAGTAGTAGAGTATTAGTCAGCTAGTCCCATGAATTCCAAAAGACAATTTTGTAGACTTGGCCTTGTTCTGAAATTTTTAGAGCAGTCTCTAGTCCTAGTATACAATGCAAGCTCAATATTTTTTAAAGAGATTTGGAGAAGCTCCAGAAAATTGATATGTTCGAAAGGCCTTAAGCTTGCATGTCATTCTCATCTTCGCAAAAAAAAAAAGAAGAAGAAGAAGAAGAAGGAAGACAAAACAAAACAAAACACAAAAGCAAAGTATTAGAACATCTTACGAGGCACCTCTTTGACGGCTCAATTTGTAGTAACTTCGGAAAGGTACTTCATAGGTCTGTAGAAACTCTAATCTCAAAAACTCTCCTATTCCTTTACACAATCCCCATTCCTTTATTTGGATACTTTGAAAATGTAACAACCCAGCACCCCCGTAAACATTGAAAGAAGAAGACTGGATTTATCTCTTCCCAGATTTATCTAGTTGTTTCTTGTCATTTGCAAAGTCTTTCTCGACTGGTATTAGAACACCTGAAACCACACATTTTTTGACAGCGACAGTTTAATTTGCAGTAAAGGTGACGGAGGTATTGAGGAAACTTGATCTAATCGAAAATCTTTCTATGTTTTGCTTACTAAAAAAAACCCCTGAGCGAAATGTGACTCTACTTATTTATACTATTCAAGAACATAAACATGTCATTTTTTCGCTTTCACCGTACGTAGTCGACTTGAAGAAAGGAAAAGGAAAGGATACCCTGGCAATGTTTATCATAAGCTCTTCCTCTTTGCTCTACCCATCACACCTTTCTTTCGTCACTTAGCAAGATTTGCGACTGGTATTAGAACATCTGAAAAGACACCTCCTTGACAGCTCAATTTGTAGTAATGGTGACAGAGGTACCGAGGACACGAGCTAAGCGAAGATCTTGCTAGCGAAGTGTAATTAGATACACTTAATAATATCTAAGGACGGAAATATACCTTTATTCTACAATCGCTGTTGCTGATTCGAAGCGATAAAAAGGAAAGGTTACCATGACAGTCTCATCCTAACCCTCCCCTCCCCTCCCCTCCCCTCACCCCGCGTTTGAAAATTTTATCAGCCCCACCCCCTTCCCGGCTCTTCCGCGTTCCGATGCACCACCACTGAGCTCAAAGGAGTTTTTCCTTATCCTGCACGCGTGTCAAGACAAACATTATCGTTCTAAATGAAAGCTCAATGCTCAGCTTTGCAAGACTATTGGAGAGGTTCAAGAAACTCGATTACTTCTTGGGACTCTCAGTCAGCCTGACAGTTTGGTCATGAGTAAACAAACACGAAAAGAAAAACCATAGTCTCGATCTGTCATTCTTACGCCTGTCTAATTGCAGTTGTCATTTGCATGAGAACATCTATAATAGCACCGTTTTTAAAACTAAATTAGTTTGGTACTGGTGTCAGCGAGTTAGTTTGCGACACTGTGCAGACTTGAACCACGCAAGCAATAACTTATGTACACAGGGAACTTCAACAAATGATAGTACTGTGTATTTTAAAATAACCGGTAACGCAAAGCGCGCTTTGCTGTAATTGGAACTAGAAAACGAGAACCAATGACCTGAGAGTTGCGTTATGTTCGACCTGTCTTACAGATTCCTCCCAAAAGCGAGTAGAACTACGTTGCAGTTAAAAACTGTAAAGCAAATACCCATTAACGAATCCAAAACGCTTAAAATTAAAATGTTGATTTGATTTATTGTGATCCGAAGAACAAGTCTTGTTGTTGATAATTTCAGCGAGGTGTTACAACAGGTGATGGATTGTGCGCGAGACAATAGTCTATTGAGGTCATTCTTGAAATTTAACTAACCATGGCGTAACTGTTAGTTACGGGTCGATGATTTGCTCACTGCTCAACCAATCACAAGCGATGCTGAGAGGCACGACCGTGGTATCATAATCAGTGACTTTTCTGAGTGACTCCGACTCGCAGGTAAGTCCTACGCCTTTGTTTGATTTTTAATCTCCACCTAATGAAGTGAAACCTCACGGTACCCGAATTCACCGCGAAATTTTTTTAAAATTACGCGTTTGTGCATGTAGGTAAAAATGATTTGGCTAGTTAAGTTGATTTTTAGCTCGATGAAGAACTGTAGTATTTTCCTTTTTGAATTTAGCGAAAAAATTCTTAAGGCAAGACCTACGATTCCAGGGGAACAACTTTCCAAACATGAGTCGGAAAGCTTCTTTTCTTCAGAAAAATTGAACAATTTTCACTGTTCTTTTTCTGTTTTAAATTTTGCTTTTCTCGAAGCTAGTTTTGTAGCCTCGATGAGCAACTTAGCGTGTCTGTTTCAAGTTAACTCGGTCCAACAGTTTACAGCAAGTTTGCGGGAGACCTCTCCACAGACAATGATTTAATTTTGTTTATGCCATTAAAACGGTCACACAACTAGCAAGCAATGCTGTTTTACCACGGTTTCTTGTTGTTTGAGGTTCATTGAACATGAGAGGAAATTATTGACGAGCGACCGTACTGGCAATAAAATCATCATGGACGATTGATTAGTCGGTTCGAGATTATGACAAGCGTGAATCTGTCCAGAACATTTGATTTGTGGAATTGCAACCATGAATTACATCGTAACATATCTTTTGATTTTTTCTGAAATATTTTTCAAGTTTGCCTTTCTACTCCGCCCGCTATATTGCCCATTGTTCGGTACCCGTTTTCCACCTTAAATAACCTACTAAACTAAAGATGTCAACCTTTTTTGTGAATGGGAAACGCGACAGTATCCCAAACTGTGGTCCTTATGGGAAATAATAATAATTTCAATTAATTGAACTCCATCCGTTAGCTATAAACTATTAAACTGTTTCCTTTAGCTTAGCGTTCAGCTTTCGTGCAAGTTGAAATCGTATTTATGATTTCTCCAGGACTTCATCGCTAACACTTATCAATAAAATACGTGTTTGAGCGCATAAATTATTTACTCTTCAAAACCGTGAATTCCAGTTGTGTCTTTTCCTCTACATCGATCTAGGAGAAGTAGTATGTGAATATCTCGATTTCTTTGCTCGGTTGTGCAAAACGGGAGTGTAGAGAAGTCGTCAAGCTTATACTGGAGTAACTTATCTTTTCCTCTACAGTTGGAAGGTTCGTCGGCGCGCCAAAATCATGAGGGCATATGCCGTGATCGTGTGCCTACTCCTTATTCTGTACCAAGTTAGTGCGGCTCCAAGGCCATGTAGAAATAGACGAGATGTAAGTGACAAAAAGACTGACGATAAAACAGAAAATAAGGAGAATGATCATGAAAGTTCAGAGAAGAGTGAAGCAAAAGGAAGTCAAAAGGACAAAAAACAGTATGTGCCATTTTATCCAGCCGCTCCCGCTGTTCCAGCATATAACATGGGAGATGTCATTTGTGAGGACAGTAGACCTGTGCAAGTTGTCCAAATAAGGGATTTAAGTATTGTGAATGGAGTCATCAAGTCTAGCAATATCTCATAGATCCTAGGTAAGTGGAGTTCTTGATTCCTTTTGTTTTTTTTCTCGACATAAAACTACAGGTGCAAGGTCGCTTTCGATGACTCGAAAGATCTTTCGCCTTTCAGTTTTTACTAATCTTGCCGAGTAAGGACTGAGAAGTTTCTGTCTAAACGCTCCTGGTCCAAAAATTGGTTTTCGTGGCTTACGAACTTGTAAAAATAAGGACGAAGACATTTTAATGAGATGCTTTTTGCCTTCAAATGCAATCAATGGTGTTTTAAAGCTGTGTTCAACAGGTACCGAAAATGAATCATCGCACGAGTGGTGAAAAGATGAAGTGCTTTATGAATCCAACACAATGGTTTTGTGCTTGGACAGAAGGAAAAAATATCACTTTTCTTAAATCTAATCTTTTTTAGTGAAAACAACTTTCAATTGAATTCTTTTTCATTATTTTTTTTAGCTTTGGAAACCTGTTTCTGTGGCTGTTTCTATCGGAAACTGTAACTTTTGTTTTTAAGGAGAAATTACATGTGGATCGGTAGATTGGCATAAATTAGCCTACAGACGTAATATATCTCTTACCAAGAAATGAAAGTGAGAATTCATTTTCTTTGCAGATGGCAGACCACAAGTAGAAGAAATTTGGATATTGGATAGTTTTTGTACAAAGACACATTTTTGAACGTTTGCAGCAAGTGTTTGTGGTTTGCGATTCAATTCTTTACGAATTTTTATTCGCGTCCCGACATGGACTACAGAAATGGAGAAAATTTATTTCTCAAACCACTAAAAAACTCGACAAGGAGAGGTTACACCGAATGGATGAGACTAGCATGGACATATCGACAGTTTTAATGTGGCTATTCAAGGAGATTTGAGGATCCGCGAGAGACAGAGAAACTTTTAGATCCGTCGAGTATGATCGACTTGCCATATTGTATAGAAAAAGAATATTGAAAAGGGCTCTTTCCAAACGACTTTTTGTGAAGTTTAAGCTTTTGAAAGGGAGAGTTATTCCACAAATGATGTCTTCATTCAGTAAGGCGTTATGTACATATCTTGTTGAGACATTTGCAGCCGTCGATGGTAGAATTACACTAGATATACACGAAATTCACGACTACACGACAAGATGGTATTGCAGTAGCTTAGCTTGTTTGTAAAAAGGAAACAAATCACAAATTACAAACCAAATTGTTATAGTTTTGTCATTTTTTTTTTGTTTTACACTCTTATTTCCATGCCTCTGTATTTACACTGCTTTAGGGAAAAAGAACGCAACATCACATCTGTTGCACTCTTTCAGTCCTTGTGCGGAATAATTGTTTCCACTGTAAATTTTGAAGCCTCTTCCTGGAATTAGTATTTTCATTCCTTTTTTATGTCCGTTTGATAAACAAAACTATTCTAATCACCGATTTACCGCTTTCACTCGGACAGAGGTTAGCTAAACACAGTAGAGCATCGCTCTAATCAAAGCTTCGTCACAACCATTTTTGAGAGGAGAGTATTTACTTCTCTATACATTCTTTTTTAAATCTTGGAAGAATGTCCGTCTAGCGCTTGATTTGGAATGTTTACACAGGGGTTTTTCTATTGACTGGTCGAGGTTAAAGGGGGCCAAGAGCAGTGCATTCTCTCTACGATTGCTGTTCGTGTCCTGTAAGCCTGATGTTGATACAACTATCAGATGGAGCGAAAGTCCCCAGGGTCGTGAGTGTGTTGAGTTAATTAACAGTCCTGATCAGCGGCTAACAATATCCCTACATCATCTCGTATCATCCATCGATAGCAAGATATTTCGAACCATTTCATTCCTTCTCTTCTTCTCCAGTTCACCGTCCTGAAAGCAAAAGAGATCTAGCGTTGACTGAAATAGGTCTACCACATGTTGAGAACGCGGTTATCGTGACTGAATCCTTAAAAAATTGCAGAACCCCTACCAAAGTTTTTGTCGAACTTTACCTAATGGTTGTTCACCTCAATGGAACTTAGATTTTCACTGCAATATCGAACACTATATGCAGTTGCATACTTGTGAATTTGACGATCATTTCGAATTATACAAAGGGTATCAGTCGTCCTTTAAATTCAAATGAAAGCGAAGCAATTGAAGCTCAAGTAGAAGAAAAAAGTCTGTTGGCTCTCCTCAGTATCTTTTTTTTTTAGAAAATGACGACTTACCTCACTAACTAGCTACGGCCATAAAGGAAAAAAGGCAATCATGTTTATGTATGTGTATACGCAGTAAGGGTGCGCAATGCATTACTAGTGAGACCTTAGACTACGTTTTTTCGCCCCAAATGGAACTGAATTAAGGCGGCTACTTACAGACCATACTTGGCGAGGGAGTGGAGCTTAGAAACTTCGTTATCGAGAAAAATACCACTTACCTTCCACAAGACAACAAGGCCATCACTTCCACAGGAAGCAAAGCCTTCCTCACCAAGATTAACAGCCATCTATTTGGAGAATAACAGTCATTATAAAAGAAAGGCATTTGATTTCAAATCTTATTTTGCACTGATTCAAAGTTTCAAGGCGTGGACATCGGTGAGGACCGGAATTTCGGTCGCAGATTAATCAGCATTTAGATAAAAAGTTAAACCTCTCCAAACCCATAACATTAAAATCAAGTAACTTCTAACAACATCAGAGTATGTTACGTTGATCTTAGAGTAATTCTCAATTAACCCTTTCATTCCCAAGATCTGATTGTTAATTCTCCCTTATTGCTACTACATATTTCCTTCTAAATTAGTTGAGAGAATTTGGTGTTCAATCAATAAAAACAACTTGTATGTGATAAGTTTAAGTATTCTCATTACCTGTTTGTTAGATAGTGTGTGGATATTTTAGGGAGAAGTTACATGCTAATCACTTCTAGGAGTTGAAGGGTTAAGGGTCGAAAGTAATCCCAGATTACTTTGGTTCTGCCTCACTTTGCTCTGCTATCGGTCCAGATCTCTCGCACCATCCTCTCAACCAATCAGACGCAACCAACCAACTGCCTTTGGAATTTGTATGTTCAATTTATTCAACAAAGTGAAAATCTTTCTGTCAACTAATAAGTCAAAGTCGTTCTTTATTTAACTTACATGTATGGCGCCCGTATGAGCCAGACACTCTCCAAGAAGCGCTGGAGTGATTGGTGACTTGATATTTTGCACTTCTGAAATGCTGGAAAAGGGATGAAAAAAATACTCAAATATGACGTTAGGATGAACAAATAAGAGAAACACATTTAACTTACACCTGTAAGTATTGGTTTACCTTTTACCAAGAAATCTCTCCACTTGCAAAGTGAAGGATGGCGACGTAGAACCATCACCTATAAAAAAGACAATAGACTACATTAACAAAAAAGAAAATTGAGGAAATATCTATAAACGAGTTGGGATTTTCCTTGCGGTTATTCCAAACCGAGCCGAAATTCAAAAACAATTTTCAATTTTTATAGTGAAATATTTTTTCATATAATTGCATAGTGAATATTACACCACTCAAATTAGAATTAGAAGATATTTTGCGTGTGGGGAACGCGCAGGCGTAATGGTTAGCCACCTGGACTCAGGAATATAAATGGGTATCAGCAATAAATTGTAAGGGAAGCCTGATGAAATACTAGGGGATAACCCTGAGATTGAAAGGGGGAATATATTGAATGGGGGAAAAGTAAAGGTCCTGGTCACTTTATGCCATGGAAATCAAAATAAGCTTCAGCTATATGGGTCACAGGGGAGAAAATCCGGAGAACCCTGCTGGAGAGAAACTCTTAGAGCAAGGATGAGAAACATCACCAAACTCAGACCATGTGTGACCCCTGGAACAGGAATCAAACCCAACTCACAGCAGTGGGAAGCCAGCCTCTCTCTCTCTCTCTGAAGATTTCTGATGTAATTTCATATATCTTAGAAAATAAATTTATTCAGAGAGCCTCAGCTGGTCAAAGTGGACCAAAACTAACAGGAACTGGAAGGAATGAGGTACAATTCAGAGACAGTCAAGGAGGGGGATTAAAAAATTGCAAAGATGCTATCTAAGGCAGAGGCCCTCCTAAAGCAATCTGTGTAAAAAGAAAAAGAGAAATAAAGACTTACAGACAAAAAGAGGATTTGGTGATCCCCAAATTCTTACAGAGCCATCCTCAGAACAGGTTGCCAAAAGATAACTATGAACAAAAAGATAAGTTAATTATAAGAGAAATTTTCAAGTGAGTGTTGAAATCAATCTGAGATGGCTTATACTACGTTTTACTTTTCTATGCTTTGCCACCCTCTTTACAAATTTGACATAAAACTACAACCAGACTTGTCTTGATCAAATTCCTTCCTCAGAGCACAATTTTCATCTGAATGTTCAAACTAATCCTAAATTTCATTGTTTTTGCTTTACTTCACTCCATAATTGGTCCAGAAAACTTGCACCACTCACTCAAACAATCGGACAAAAACTAAAACCACTCAGAACTTGGTTGCACCTGAGCCTGATTTGCAGTTTGGTTGTTTTTCCTTTAATTTCTTACTGGCTCCTAAAGGTATTTCCCTTTCTTCTGATTGACTGTTGTAGTTAATTTGGGTTTGGTATTACAACAGTCAATTGCAAAATTTTTTTAGTTTAGGCCAATTGCTTGATTTTGTTTGAAGTTCTAAATTATTCCTGATAGAGTTTTTGTATGAAATGCAGAGTTTTTTAGTCTATTTTTTGCATATACCATGACTATACAAATTTAAGCACTTTTTAACTAGCTGGGGTTGCAAAGCATACCTCAGAAGTACACATTGACCACATGATCCACATTACCATTTACCACTTTCAAAGACCTTACCCTTTACACAACAGCACAGAGTGAATTATTTTCCCATGATGTGCATTCGTGACTTTGGCAAGGCAGTTCCCTACATTAGTACAGAGATGTACGTTCATTAAAAGCCAACCAAGTCATCTAAAAAAAAGTCTATATTGGTGTCATCAGTTGAGATGGAAACCATAAATTTTTTCATAATTATCAATTGCACACAACCTAACTTGAAATATAGCATCATACCTGACATGGTGTCATACAAGAAAAATCCATGCCCAATGGAAGCCAATATGTATTTCTACAAACAGCATAAAATGAATAATTATTAAATATATAAATAAATAAACAAGACATGTTAGGTACATGGACAATGGATACTAATACCAACTCAGCTTTATAAAAAAAAAAAAAAAAAAGTGGAGAACATCTAGAAACTACATGAGGATGAATTGTGATCTAGACTCAGGCTGCCCCTTTCCTTTTCCTTTCACTACAAATAGACAAATTGTATTATTTGCTGCATGGCAAGACTGGTTGAGCTGTTTGATATCTCTTTCCAAAATTAGACTGTATAATAATTAAGTGTATGATGCACTTTTCACTGATGTAATTGTAAATGAAGATTTGGAAAAAAAACACACACACACACACACCCAAAACAGTTTATTAATTAGACCGAGAGAATATACTAAATTGATTTTCAGTGCTTCCTGTTCTCGTTACTAAGGCTTATCAGTGTTCTACCTGATCAACAGTGAAGATATGCTGAGTACTTGCGGGGTAGGTGTGAAATGGTCCTTCATAGTCCTTCACATAGTTAAACCGTCGTGTATAAGAAAGACTAAGAGAGCTCCACAGAATGATGGCTCCATCCAGTGATGCTGATGCAAACATGCTGTCTTTTGATCAAAGAAAAAAAGTGAAGTTGACACTTTTTTCAATAACTATACTTACATGTACCTGTAGATCTATATGCAATAAATTAATCACTAACATTTACTGTTCAAAACCTCATCTTTTTGAACAATGCAAACTAATCTATCTATCATCAGGAGTTAGTTTTGGGTTTAAGACACAAGTATCACAATTTTAGATCTAAATTCATCCCTATGCTCAAATATGAAAAATTGTGAAATCTGTACCAGAATTTTCTGGATTTCAAAAACATAGTTGTTACCACACAGATGGATTCAAAACTAAATTAAATTGTGCACTCCTAGTAAAATTCTTAAAATATTACTTAGAAGACATTTCAAAATACCATTTGAAACTCAATCTTTTTCAAAATTTCTTTACCATTGTAACAATTTTAAATAGTTAATTTTGGGGATTATTCTTCACAAAGAGGCACTAAGCAAAAGTCTGGTCCCAATTTGCTCAGAATGTAGACTCTTTGAGTTCAAAATTCTATGAATTAGAATCATTCACCTTAATTTTTTAAGTAGTAACTAATACCAGTAAAAGCTGGTCAGATTTTTTTTCATCAGTCTCAAACCTCTGTTCCAAATTGGCTACTAACAAACAAGTCTATTTATTTCAACACAGTATTTTTTTTCAGCTACTTGCCTTCAATTCTAAAACAAACCTGCTACACTGATAAGGCATCTAATTGATTCCCTGTGAGGTGAGAGTTTCGTGACTTCAACTATTTTTATATTTTGGGAATCATCTGTGCTCCTTGTCACTGAATATACCACTGTTGGTATCAAATAAAATACCAGTCAAATCATTTATAATCATGTACTATCTTATTGTCCCTTCAACTCCCAGATCAAATTTGTGATTCTTTTATGTCAATCATGCAATTCTTATAATGTTAGTTCAGAGAATTCAGTATTGGATCAACTAATTATGTCCAAATTGATATTTTTCTTTATTCTCATCACTTTCTGGTTGATTTTGTATTGATATTGTAAGGAGAAATTCTGTACTGGTCACTCATGAGTTTTAAAGGGTTAAGGCATTTCATGACAATGGAATATTCAGGGAAAAACAAACAAATACCTAAAGGAATGAGTGAGTGAGTAAGTAAATAAATAAACCAATGAACTAAAAAACAGATGAAAAAATACTGAATGAATAATTGAATGAATGAAGAAATTAAGAAGTGAACAGATGAAAGACTGAAAGGCAGATTGACTTTGACTAACTGATGGACTGATGAATGAACAGATGGAGCAACCAGTAAACGCACAAACAGAGGGGGTACAGCAGGAAGGCTGGAAGATGATACCAGGTGGAGTACATGGAGTGTTAATGCATGAGAGCATGTAAGAGTGTGATATAATTATAAAGTAGCTTGTGAGGTCAAGCGAAAGCAAGAGAAAATTAGTAGGTAGGACACACAAGAAATATGTAAACTTCACATGACCGTATAACTACAGCCTTTGCTAAGCGATTCAGAATTAGTTTGTGTTGTGAGTTTGTTTTGTAACAGTCATGAAGAAGTAGTGTCTTTTAAACTTAATCAGGAGCACTACAGTAGGTTGGCAAGATAAGAATATGAAAGAGTTTCTAAGTCAGAACAACTTTACCAAGTGAAAATTTATTTGAAGCAGCCACTATTCGGTTATTCTTTATAGGAAGCAATGTGTGGATATCACCTAGAGGTAAAAATAAATCAATTCAATCAGCATGTTTAAATAATTCACAATAGAATGACTGAAATAAAATATTTTCAAACGGGGGAGAAGGATATATTGTCAAATATCACTGGAAACTTATCAATGATTTACTGTTATTTTATTTTATGTCAATTTCTGATGCAAAGAACAATTAAAAACCCAATACACTACTCACAGTCTTCACTGTTCCTCTGCATTTTATCCAGCAACTCTCCCTTTTCACTCCAAACACACAAGTCCTGACCACCAGAGAAAAATATCCTGTCCTCTTTTATGTTCACTAAACACTGAGAAAATATCAAACGTTGTTGTCTTTGAGCAATGCCATTCAGCCATTTTCTTCATGTACAAAACCATGAGAATATGGATACATGGTCAAAATATAGTCTAAGTTCAAACTAAACTGATTATCTTAAGCCTATTAATTTCACTCTTCCATTTATGTTTTACTTAATCCATGAAAAATGTAGTACAGATACTACCAGCCAGTGTACTATAAACCTTTACATGAAAAATTGAAAACAAAAAAAATGATATGTGGGAAGAAAAACATAGAGGATGTGGCCTAGGAACAGGCCCTGATTAATAGCACTTTGCCACAAGTATTCTTCATCCATAGGAAAGTATGAATACTAGAGCAATGCAAGCTGGCAAGAGATCTACCAGGGGCCCAGCACTGATATAATCAGTGCGAAGTACCTGGTAAAACTCTTCCCTCTTGTTTAAAATCTTCCAGCCAGCAGAGAAACATGTGTCTTGCAGCACCAAGAAAATATAGAGGATGTAGCTTAGGAACAGGCCCTGATTAATAGCACTTTGCCACAAGTATTCTTCATCCATAGGAAAGTATGAATACTAGAGCAATGCAAGCTGGCAAGAGATCTACCAGGGGCCTAGCACTGATATAATCAGTGCGAAGTACCTAGTAACACTCTTCCCTCTTGTTTCAAATCTTCCAGCCAGCAGAGAAACATGTCTTGCAGTGCCAAGAAAAATATAGAGGACGTAGCCTAGGTACAAGCCCTGATTAATAGCACTTAGCCACAAGTATTCTTCATCCATAGGAAAGTATGAGTACTGGAGCAATGCAGACTGGCAAGAGGTCTACAAGGGGCCCAGCACTGATATAATCAGTGCGAGGCACCTGGTAAAACTCTTCCCTCTTATTTCAAATCTTCCAGCTAGCAGAGAAACATGTGTCTTACAGCACCAAAATAGTCACATGCTAAGAGGGAGAAGGGTGCTGAGAGGCCTAATGGCCAACATGCAAACATTATGGGTAACCAAAGGGTAGCCCCAAAAGACTACTGAGCATCCCCTCCCTGGAGGAGTAATGCTAATGTTCCTTGTTGCTTCATGTCATTGTTGGTTTAAAAGCTAGTTCAGTAAATAGTGTGTAAATATTTTTCAGCAAATACATGTTTTAAGTATCATTTTCAGTACAAAGACATTAGCAGGAGCATGCAACCTTCACAGAGCCACAATGATCGGAGATTGTGTGAAGGCACAGACCATCATTTACATCCCAAACCTTTCAAACATGAATAATTGAAAAAAATGAGAGTTAAGGAAAATTATCATGAAGGTACAATTGGCAAACTAATAAGAAATTGAATCAATACCACTGGATGGATAACACACTTTGGCTGAATCCTGATAACTTTAAACTTGACACCTCACACCTGATGTTAAATCATAATTCATTTTCCTCCCTTGCGTCATTCAAATTCACATTTTTTAGAACTCTTGCAAACTTAGGCCCTCATTGACTCTCCTTGAAGGAGTGAGATGTTGGGCCCTAGCAATGATTCACACAAGGATACATTTGTGACATTTGAATGCAGCTGTTTTAATCCTTTGACTTCCAAGATCTCATTTATTTAGCAATTCTTCTTGCTGTCTGATGGGAACTGATACTGAGTATGATTGACAGGTGATTCTTGTGGAGGGTGAGCACATGGAGAAGAGTGAGTTTGTGAGTCTGAGGGATTGTATGTGGGTTGCGATGTGTAAGTAATGAACAATGATAAACTAGTTTTTTTCTGTACTGGAGATTTCTTTTTATGGGGGCATTTCCAAAGCTGTGTGCCATACATCTCTCATGATGTTAGTTTATTTGGAGAATTTAGTATTGGATCAACTTATAATCCCCTATATATATTGATATTTTTCTTTATTCTCCTCACTTGTCTGCTTGATATTGCATTGATATTGTGAGGGTAAATTATGTCTTGCACAGTCACTCATGGGAGTTAATGGATTAAACTTGAGTGTCAATTTGCTTAATAATAACCCATGAATGCATATAACTATGATGGTGAAAGGATACTAATATGGTTCTGTCTGATGAGCCTGTGAGCAAAAGAATGGTGGCTGTTTCTTCATTCTGGTATTCTTGTCGCTGATGCAAGAGGAGCATACACTTAATGGGTCGTGTGTGACCTCTCAAAACACTGAGGCGCTTTCCATTCTATGCATAAAAATTACATCAGTTTTAAGCTAAGAATGCAAACATCTAAATATGAAGGCTACTAAGTCATGACAAAAAAGTCTTAGAATTCATAAAATAAAACATTATACTCATTCTGATAAGGACCTTAGCATCCCAAATGACTGCAAGGTTATCATCAGAAGCTGATGCAAACCTGGAAGCAAAAATATACCATTTTGCTTCAGAATATTACATTGACGCAAAGTAGCATTTTCCAAATTAATATTAAAATTTTCCTTCAATGTAGTGGTGCAGAGCCCTTTACAATCTCTTCTACTTTGAGAGTTGCTTCTAACTTTTGTCCAAAAAACTTGTTCTTCACAGTTGGTCCCCCATTAGATTTGTCAAAAAGAGAGAAAATGCTCTAAGCAAACAATGCATATTAAGAAAGTAAACTGTACTAGCCTCATAAGGTGTTTGCCTCTTAAAAAAACTGAGCTTCTGGGAATTCAGAGACAAAACAAATCTTTTTCCACAATTGATATCTGCCCTTTCTCCATTCAAAATGAAAGTAATTTAAAAGAGATTAATCACGGGTAAAATTTCCATCTAGATAAACTTACCCTACAAAAGGGTTACTTTCATGCTAGGTGACATAAGTTTCCAAACATTTTAGCAAGACTGCATGTTTGAAACTTCTCATCAGTTACTGCTAGTCACAAGTCATATATAATATGCATTCTCACAAATATATGCTTATAGACTTCTATTGCATCATGTATGCCTGTAGTGGCATCAGCTCTGGAGGTGGAGAGATCCATGCAACTTAACCCTTTACACCCTAACATCAGTATGTATATTCTCCATACTGCTCTCTATACATTTCTTAAGGTACTGACAAGGAGAACTTGTTTGAAAATCAAGAGCCTCCTTTGTTGGTGATCATTTCCTTTGTTCTCATGACCTTACTGTATGATTCAGGGATGATACTGTTGGGAGAAATTAGATGCTGGTCACTCTTGGGGATCAAAGGGTTAAGACTGAATGACTCACAAGTTCCATAAGGCTCAGATTTATTGAGTAAATCTTACAGAGATCCTTTGTAGCAAGATGTGTAGGCAAATGCTCTGGGCTAGTTCTGTATATTAAAGCAATATCTGGTGGTTCCCAACAAATTTCATTGAGACCTCAGGGATTTTCACTTGTGTTTACAAAATTTAATTGAAGGTCATGTGGTAGCTAGCAAAAACTATTATGACGTAGATGTAGTTCTAAAAAAGGAAATATTTACAACTCCACGAAATGAGAAATGAGGCACACTGGTGCCATGACAACGCTATTATACTTACAGAGCTGGTATGTAAGAGTAAATATTATGCTAAAAGTGATTTTACCTTCTATCATCAATAACAGTCAACAAATGAACAATGTCTGTATGTGAGGACAGAAGTCTCAGCTCTGTGTAGGGATTTCTTGGCTGGTCATCTTCAATCTCTGGCACATCCTCTACCTTAATTGTAACAAAACAAAGGCTTATTAAAACAAACACAGTACGCAACATTTCACTACATTAATTAGTTTCATGTTATCAGAATAAACACAATAACTGGTTGACAATTTTATGAAATGACTGAGATCAAAGTTTTATTTTTTTTCTTGAAAGGAGAGGAAAAGATGCATTTCATGAATATATCTATCTAAACGTAGTTATTTCATGACTTTTTTCGATTACTATCCTAACAAAATATCTAAAATTGACATTCCCGAGGGCAACAAATTAACATTACAAATATTTATAGTAGCCCTGGAACAGCTGACGAAGAAATCAATTGATTTTGATACTATTTTACTTGAAGGTACCTGTTTACGTTCCTTTTTCTCTCCTCGAAAGCTAAACATTCTATAATTTTGTTTTTCATTGGGTAACTATACAAAAAGACACTTGTATGTAGCTTGTCGGCAGACCTTTACCAGATAACCTGAAAAGGGCGAGTCACGAGACCGCCATCTTCGATTAAACTGCAGAGCGGGGAATGGAACGAGGTAAACAGCACAACTGTTATGGGTGGGGAGGGTGTAGAAAAATTCCATTCTTTCATCATGTCAAGTGGTAATTAGCGCGGCTTGGATTTTGTCAGACACCACACAGGTAAGTTTTGTGTTGCATATTCCGCATATTAGTTGGAATGCGAGTTTTGGAATCGTGATATAGGAAGGAAACAGCAAATATGGGAAGGATCAAGCGATGATAGTTAATCTGATAAACGGATAGATAGTTTTCCTTTTCCCAGTCCTAAAGTTCTATTTTGAACCGCTCGACCGATGTTCTTTTGTTTTCCGGCAATACAAAAGCGCGTCGCTTATCGCAGCTATTATTAGTTTTCTTCGATGGTATTTTTACGTAGCCACTTCAATGGATCCTTCTTCAACTGTAATCGTCGAGGACTCACTTCCCAAAGACATTTTAGAAGTGTTAGACAGCATGAGACGACGGAAAGAGTTGTCAGATGTCACACTAGTGGTAAATTCTCGCGAGATAGTCGCGCATCGAGCGATTTTGGCGGCGTGCAGTCCGTATTTCAGGGCTATGTTTTTGTCCGGATTTTCAGAAGCTAACGAGCAGAAGATTCATTTGAAAGAAGTCGATTATTGCGCAGTACAACTGATTGTTAACTACTTTTATACTTCGGAACTCGAGCTGAATGTTTACAACGTAGAAGAGATCCTCCGAATATGTGTCCTGTTTCGTTTAACGACTTTAGTAGATCACTGCGAGACGTTCCTTCGACGAAACTTGACTCCGTCGAACTGTATTGGACTTCAGTTCGTCGCTGATCTGTTTTCCCTCGATGAGTTGAGTCAACATGCTAATCGCATTGCTTTGTGGCATTTTACGGATGTTTACAAAGAGGACGAATTCAAGAAGATGCCTTATAAACAACTGAAAGAATTGGTCATGGATGATTCATTGAAGGTTCAGTCCGAAGAGGTAGTCTTTGAGGCTGTTTTGCAGTGGATTAATCACGATACGAGAGCTAGAAAGGATTTCGTTCCCGACATCATGCAGTATGTGAGATTTCCTCTCATGAATCTACAATATTTACATGGAAATGCGGCGATCTCCAAACTCACGAAAGAGTACCGCATGTGTAAGGAACTTATCCGTGAAGCCGTCAGCTATCAAACAGCCGTTGAAAGTAAAATGACATCAGCCCTTGATAATTTCCGTGTCAGACCACGTATGGCCTCAGAAGAGATCTTTGTCATAGGTGGATGGTCGAATGGTCAGAAAATTAGCAGTGTACAGTGCTTCAATGTGGACACCTTGGAATGGACAGTTGTGGCTGGGATGTCTGTGGCTCATGTAGCTAGAGAGGATTACATCCGTGTGGTTGCTGCTGGTGACGAATTATACACTGTCAGTCGCTACAAAGTGGGAAAGTATGACCCCATTGCCAATTCCTGGATCCAGGTAGCAACAGGTCCTGATGTCCAGTGCAAGTGGGCTGGTGTGTGCGAATATGAGGGATTCATCTATGCCGTTGGTGGTCACAGCAGTATGTGTGCAAAGCAGTTTGATACAGAAACCATGACTTGGAGGTCTCTACCCTCCATGATGTATGCTCGCTACTATCCAGGTAAGTTTAAAGACACCTTAGGTGATGGAAAGTGAAAAATTCAAAATTTATGCATCAGGATATGTACCCTGCTGTCCTTTTTTCACCTTTTCTTTTTATAAAAATGTTGTTGTTCATCACTGTCATGTTGATAAAAGAACATTTCATCATTTGTCTTACAATATAAAGTCAGGTTATCATTGGTATTGCTTGCAACATTTTGACTGCTATACTGCTAGTCTTCATCAGGGGATGTGGTCAAAAGTTAACATGTCACTATCTATATAACCTGTGCTGTTATTGGTGTGTTTTGGTGAACTGTGATTGTCATTGGTGTGTTTTGATCCTTATTATTTTATCAACTACCAGATATTGTTCCCTCATCACTTGGCTTGTTACTAATCAGCTATTATGCTTTTTGATTGTAGACATCCATACTTCAGGAATTTTTTTCCATTGTCTCTGTTGTTTTTTTTTCCCCTAAATAGTAAGAAACACATCACTCATTTTAGGAAAAAAAAAAAAAAATTTCGATAGGATATATCAGAAGGTGACTCTGATCATTACATGCACCTGTGGCGGGTTTCAAGAGATGAAAATTGCTGGAGTGGAGTTCTCTGGCACAGCCTCAACATAATCAAGATCACCAGTTTAAGGCTTCAGTTTCATGTATAACTTAGAGCTCTTTTAAAAATAATTTTTCCTAGGTGTTGGTGTAGTAGAAGGCAAGATATATGCTGTTGGAGGGTTAGACCACCTTTGGGCACCTTTGAACACTGCTGAACGGTATGATCCTCATACAAACCAGTGGGAGGCTATTGCATCAATGAGTACTGCACGCTGGAGCCTAGGTGTGGCTGTCTTGAAAGGCAAAAT